TAACCGATATTCTGAGTCGAGAGTAATAAAACTATTTTCTGGTAATTTAGTCAGCTCAGAAAGTCTCAGAAACTCTTATGGGTAAAAACGAAAAAATATTTTATCGGAAGTGCCTTTCGTTTAGACGGTGACGGCATTTTTGGGGCTTAAAAACGCAAAAATCTGAAACCACCCGCCAGAGTGGAAAAGTTGAGTACGCTCCGCCGTATCGTTTCCGTCTACACTGCCCAAGACCCAAAACTCTGGTCAGATCTGCTCACGTCGTGTACACGTTTACATCACATACATCACCACCTGTCCTGGCGTCACCACCTAGCTGTCTGGCATGCATACCCGATCTAATTCCACACACTTTTGTGTCACCGTATGCATGCAGATTTCCTCCTGAAAACGCTCGTTTAAACACGGAATAAAAAGTGAAAACACGACGCCACTTTTCCGTCTTCTGTTCATCATCATAAACGTAGCCCAAGTTCTGTAGTTACCAGAGAGATAAATAACAGGTCCTTAAAGGTTGTATAGAGGATTTTTTTAAGGGAAGAGAAATACAGCGACAGTCCTTGTGCGCATTCAGAATTACTGTTGAAGTGACCTGTCTAGAAGTAATTCAGCGACCGACGCGTCAGTTTTTAGACCCTTCGTCTGCTTCGGTCGCGCCATCGCTGGACGAGATCTCCAAGAATCACCTCAGTTTGGCTTTGCTCCTTTTCCTCTTCTCTTCTTCTTTCAGCGACCTCAAAAACAGACTTTCTTTTGCGGCGAACTGGTTGTGGATTCTCGTCCGACATCGCGACAAACTTTGTGCGAAATGCGAGGAAGCGACAGTTCGAAAAAGCCTCTAAGAACCGCTGCGTAAACCACGTAATCCCCGCGCTCCGACGAGTCAGTTATACTAGGGAATTTGATTGACAACCTAACAGCCAATAGAAAATGAGGGAGCCTCATTTTCTATTGGCTGATGTTTATCTGGCCTCACTACGTCCACAGTTGATAGATTTTTGTTATTTTTTTTTTTGGTCATCATAATTACAAAGCTGCTGCGTCTCTGTAATGGTATTTTAATCTTTCACTGACAGTTTGAAACTAAAAAAAATCCTCCATACAACCTTTAACACATTTGGATCAGTTTCTATTTACATGTTTAAATACATGTTTCCAGTCTCTGCTCTGGAATTGGTTGATATTGGATACTGGCAGATATATAAAGCTATAGTATCGGAATCGAGAGCTGGACCGGTGCATCCCTTTCTGTTTTGTTGTTGCTCCATTATATTTGTTCAATAGCAAAATGGAGAAGAAGATACTAATTCCATCAACAGGACCAGTATGATCTGATTGAAAGAACATTTACCGCTGAACTTTAAAACCCACTCACTATAAGCCGTGCGTATCATTGCGAGACAGACCCAATGCTTTAGCCGTCCAGTCGTACCAAGTCTTTAATATTTCTCCTGTTTTTCCATCTCTTATCTCTACCAAATGCAGATGTCTACATGATCACAGACAGTGCAGGTTGGGCTTAAATCCGGGCTGTCACAACTGCTCTGCGTGATTTGTGTGATCTGATACACGTTTGATAAAGTCTTTAAGGCCAGTCCACAGCCAGATGGAAACAACCATATGGAAGAAAAGTTAACTTGTTTTTGAGAATATTTTCTCCTCAGCATTTGTCCATGACTCCTATAGAAACAACTTACAAGTGACAGGCCAGGAAGGGCTAAGGAAATTACCTATAGATTGAGTTATAGCATGAAGTTGGGGCTTAGGAATGTATTTAATCATATTTTTTGTTGGGTTTTAGTTTGCAATCATATATAGATTAAAATGTCTGTCGTACTTGTAATATGATGCTTAACAGACATAATAGTTAAAATATTTAAAGGGGCCATATTATGTTAATGTGAAAACTATCGCTTCATGACATCATAAGGTGGAACGGGGCATTTTGGGGTTTGGAGATGTAGACAGACTAATAATGAAGGGTGTGAATGAAACTAAACACAACTCCAAGAATGTTTTTGAGGAGGTAACATGACTAAAAGCTCACAACGGTCAATTTTGCGTAATATAGGATCTTTAAATAAAAAACATCTTGTTATTTAGTTTTCTTATATTCCATTTCGTACCACGACTTGCATTACACTATTTGACCTGCTTGTATCCGTGAAGATATTATGACTTTGCCTGGAATGTTTCAAAGTTGGGCATTAAAGCTAGGTTCAGACTGCAGGGCTTAATGCTCAATTCGGATTTCTTTGTGAAATCTGACTTTCATTCACATTTCCAATTCATTTTGACTTGTATGTGATCTCCAATGTGAACTTAAATGCCCCAAAAGTGTCCCGCATGCGCATTGGAGGACACGACGACGTCAAAAGCAGCGAGTGTGCACCTGACAATTTTAAAGTTGCTGTCGTCCCAGATCCAGAAGATGTACAGTTTATTACTTTTAAGAGGGAGATTGAGAAGGACAAGGACGCGGTTTTTGGGCATGGAGTTCTGTGGGGCAGTGGCAGCAGCGTCCATGGAAAAGAACGTGTGGGGGCGGAGTCGCAGCCAAGAGTGGTGGGATTGCGATGTACTTTGCTGCTTCACTGACCCAGAGTTCATACATAATGACGAGAAGAACGTTTGTGTACATTTGTGGGCGCCTTCTTGTACCACTCTTGTGTACATGTCTTCGGCAGCCTATTTCAGTGAACAAATGTGTGGGCTGTATTAGCTGTATTACCTCGCAACAGATGCTTGTTATGACATGTAGGTTGGATGAATGCGACCTGGACGTTCAGAATAAAGTTGAATGTCAAAAGTTCGGATATGTATCGGGTTTAGGACCATGTATCTAAGTAGCCTGGGTCGCATTTGAAAAAAATCAGATCTGTGTCATTAAAAGATCAGATACAGGTCACATAATGGCAAAAAAATTTGATTTGGGTCACTTCCGGCTGCAGTCTGAAGCCTAAACTTATCCATCTTGCATTTACTCAATTCCATGTGTTTCTATTGCTCAAAAATACATGCATTTTCACTGTGAGCACGGTCGCCTCTTCACAGATCTGACTTGCAACTTGGTAAAGTAATAAAATTCCCAAGGAGACGAGAAGGTGGCAGACCCTAGGAGATAAAGTTACACAGCGCACCTTTAAAACACATATGTCTGCGTTTGTTAAAAGAACCAGATCATTATCTTTTGATTAACTTTCTGCATTCTCACATTTCTGGAAAATCTGACCTAACTTTTTTTTTAACAACCTTAAAATGAGGCCGATCCAGTTGGGAGCACCATGAGACCGGAAAGGTGGTAATAGCAAAACCAGCTACAGTTTCAGTATGGCTTTCCATTTTAATTAAAGTTGAATTAATCTTAAATACCCATGGCTCACTTCTATGTGTACTTCTGTGTATTGGTAAGGCCCATTCACTGATGACAACGTTTAAACCTGTCCAATGCGTTTGAGCGAAAAATTCAAACTGTATCGGCCCCTTAACATGGTCCAGATGTTAAAGCTAATGTACCCTTTGTCGATGATGTCACACGCACAGGTTTGGAGTGCACAGCTGTAATTGTCCGTTGCACCAGTGTAAAATGTGGGCTTGCGGTCAAACTCTAGCCCTGTATATTCCATCTCGTATTTCAATCCCGCGGTATGAAAATGTATGTGTGGGCTAGCTAGCAGGCGAGCATGTGTCAAATGCTTTACGGGCCCCGCTCTCTCCGTGAAATGAAGCTATGGCTTGGTACAGGACTGGTGCCAAGAATAAAGGAGGGAGATAGATACTGGTGAAGTAAAAGTACAAATAAAATATTAATACAAGTTTGATATAGTGTTGTTTTGTCAGTTGAAACATACCATGATGTTTCATTTTCATAGGCAGAAAATATACGGCTTATTCGGTTCAGTTCTGTATCTTTAGGGACATTTTCAGCAAGGATAGAGTACGATTTTTTCTTTCATGATTTTGCTTAATTTCAGTTTTATTTAAAGGTAGAGTATGTAACTTTCTGAAGGCGGCTCCTTCAAGATTCAATAGAAATAGAAACCATACTACTCTGTGGGGATATTTACCGTATTTTTTGGACTATAAGTCGCACTTTTTTTCATGGTCTGGGTGGTCCTGCGACTTATACTCTGGTGTGACTTATATATTAAAAATTTTCACACTGACAGCGGCAAGAGGGCGCTCTAGTCTTGTGTGCCAGTATTTGCTACTCCTATCATTCCTGTACCACTGTCACTTTGCACTGTACTGCACGTCTCCTACAAAAAGCGCTGCTGTCATGTCTGGGTGTGCCATGCAACTTTCCTGGAAGTCATTGGATCGACAAAGCCTGGACTTAAGTGACAATCGCTCCATTTACCTCCGGAGGTCGCGGAGTTGCTCAGAGGTGACACAGAGGATGAAGAATTCAATGGATTTAGTGATTTGGAGTGAGATGGAAAATTTGGTAAACTTGTTCTGTTCTGTTGTTTACGCTATAGGTATCTGAAGAACTGTTCATATGTTACATTAACAGCTTGTTATTGTCTATTCTATTGTTATTACTAGAACTTGCCTTTCAAAATGAAATGTCGGTTCCTGGTCTCTGATTTTATAAAATAAATTTCCCCAAAAAGTGCGACTTATACTTACTTTTTTCTTCTTCATTACGCATTTTTTGGCTGGTGTGACTTATACTCCAGAGCGACTTACAAATAGATCAAAAAATACAATATTTTTCCATAGACCATACTGTGGAAGATAAGAGCCAAACAAATAACATTACCACGGAGAGAACCAGAAAGCAATAAGGAGTCAGGTTTGCGGAGATGAGTGTAGAATGGGTTTGGTCCTCTTCTAGTCTTGGGTAAGTCCTGGTCTAGTCCTGGTTTAGTTCCAGGTTTAGTTCTTGTGTCCTGTTTTTGATGTGGTGATTGTGCAAGTGTGAACGCACTCTTAAACTCTCCATTGGTTTAACAATAGGCTAACTAAAAACAGTAGAATGCTTCCGTGTATGTTACCTTGTGGTTCTTGCCGTGTCTGTAGACCATCCAGTCTTCTCCGTTGGTGCTGACCTCCAGTTTAAAGTCAGTGACATAATAGGACTTCTGAGTCTCTTTGGAAATGGCTCCCTGTGTGGCGATCCCCGTGAGCACTTTGAGGACATGAAGATCCACCTGAGGAAAAGAAAGAGAACAGGTTAAGTAAAGGCTGGTTTATGTTTCAACACTGACTGGACTGTCATGCATTTAATGAGAGTGCGTACTTGGACCATTTTAATGTTGGTAAGTGTGTTTGGTGTAATTTTTTTATTTCAATAATCAATATTTTAAATGGATTTGAATAAATTAAATACAGTAAGTATGTTGAGCTGTCATTTTTATCTGTCCTCTCCTATAGTCTGGAGAAAGCAACACTCAAATTTCTGCAGACATTCAGAAATATTCACAAATGGTGGTACTTTTTGTAGTAGTTTTACTAGTTGTAATAGGCTGGTACAGGAAAAGTAAAGCAAAATGATTTAGTGCAACAGTTAAATGCTGAAAGTAGCAAAAATAGAAATAAATGCATAGATGAATCACCTGTCTACTAGCAAAGATTTATATTATAAATGCTATTCAGTGGGTTTCTCATCTTTGTATGGGTTTGTGTGTCAAACTTCACACTCACTTAATGTTTTTACAAACTTTTTTAACAAGAACTTCTACTTGCACACCAGTATATGTTTTACAATGAATAACATTTAATGACTTATGCCTTGATTAATGTGACTCTGATTAATGTTCCTCGTCTGTATGTAACCCCGGTTCTTAGCTCCTTAATCTGGGATGTCTCCTCTCACCTCTCCTTGTGTCCTCTGCCCTTGGCCCCTCCCTCCTCTGTGTGTCCGTCTCTGCTCAGGTCGATATAATGACCCAGGGCTCATTTTCATTTCCTCGCATACAAACCAATCAGGCTCACCCGCCCTCAAAGTGCATGTTTCGCTACGTGGACGGCATAATGCAAGCTTTAACAAGGATGTAAGGATTAAACGCATTGAGGTATTGGATAAGGTTTTTGTTGATTCAGATTACTTTCAGTTTTTTGTATATATTGTTATATACTGAAAAATAAAAATGACTTGCAGTGTAGATAGTAGTGACCTAATAATAAAGTTCCATAATATGAGTCTAAACAGTCAGAATGTCTGTCTTTAAAATATTAAGGAAAGGAGCAATCTAAGCAAGAGCAAGATTAAACCAGGCCTAAACAAAGACTAAACCAGGACTAAATCAATACTAAACTAGAACTAAACCATAATAAACCCAGGACTAAACCAGAACTAAACCATAGTTAAACAAGCCAGGATTTACCCAGCATTGAACAGGGACTAATTCAGGATTTAACCATATCCAAACTCGGATTAAAATAGGACTGAAGTAGCTGTCAATATGGACAAAACAAGTCAATATAACTGCACAAAGATTTGACACAAACCAGAACTAAACCAGGACTAAACCAAGTATTATCCAAGACTAAACCAGGACTAAATCAGACCTAAATCAGGACAAAACAAGTCAACATGTAACACAATAATCTGATATAACCAGTACTAAACCAGGACCAAACCAGGACTAAACCAGGACGGAACCATAACTAAGTCCAGACTCAACCAGGCCTAAACTAAGACTAAACCAAGACTAAACCATAATAAACCCAGGACTAAACCAAAACTAAATCAGAGCTAAACCAAGACTAAAGCAGGACAAAAGCCAGGACTAAACCAGCAATGAACAGGGACTAATTCAGGATTAAACCATATCTAAACCAGGATTAAAACAGGACTAAACCAGCTCTCAATCTAGACAAAACAAGTCAATATAACAACACAAAGATTTGACACAAACCAGAACTAAACCATGACTAAATAAAGTCTAATCTGAGACTAGACCAGGACTAAATCAGATCTAAATCAGGACAGAACAAGTTTTGATATAACCAGGACTAAAGCAAGGTTAAACCAGGACAAATTGAAACTCAAAACGTCTCTTTAAAAATACACCTTCTTTACTATTCCACTGGTTTGTACTTGTATAACAGCCTCTCCCCCTTAAACCCCACCCGGCCTCGGTGCTATGATGAGCAGATCATGTGCAGCGTGATTAGCAGTCACCAGGAGAACAGGCAGGTTGTCGGATCAATCACAGCCTGATCAATTATCGGTGAATGTAAATGACCTCGATCAAAGGAAGGCTAAGCTGTCTGCTGCCTCCACACCACAATACTTCTCAATACCTCCGTCACAATGTATTACTTATACAATATAGAATACAAGTACTTCGGGTAACAAAAGGAAGTAATAAAAATGCTGTAGTAGTGGCAGGAGTGGTAGTACTAGTAAAGGTTGTTGTAATAATTGTAGCAGTACTTTTCATTTTAATGGACCCCTATTGAAGTGAATGTTTCATCATCTCTAAATCAGTTTATTTAGTAGTAGGATGACATACAGTTTTTGTGTGTAAAACAAAGATGAATACAATAAAAATGAAAAATAAAAAATATTTCATTAATCTTAAAATATTTTTTGTGGTTTTTACTCTATAGTGGCAAAAGTTGGATTGTTGTAGTAAAAAAATAAGAGTATAAATAATGTTTAAATAATGTGTAGTGCGACTTCACTTTTTAAGCAGTAGGAAATAAATGCATGTACAGGGAAAATACGTTTATGTTATTATAGTAGTAGTCGTCAGAGGTGGGGACTTGCAAGTTGTGACTTGGACTCAAGTCAGACTTTTTAGGACTTGAGACTTGACTTGATAAAATGGGCTAAGACTTGAGACTCGACTCGGACTTGAGGCCTGTGACTTGAGAAGACTTGATGCTTCTCCTAAAAATATATATGTTTTTAGAAAATACTTTTCTCTTTACAGTTGATACATGCGGTGATGAATTTTAAAGGACCAAACTGGAACATGCCCCTCCAACTTCTTTCTTTGTTACTTTGGATGTAACTGAAATACTGTGAGATGGTATCATCAAATGTACTACAGTAATTTAAAGTATAATACAGAGGGGACTACAAAGAAAATGATTCTTCATTACAAAATAACTTATTATAAGTTATTTAGCACTTTTAAATCTTAATTCTTTCTATTCTGACCATAATAATTCACACTAAGATCTTGTCAAAACATTTAAAAAGGAAAAATTTGCATTTCTACAACTCTTATACAAATACTCGTATAGAAATATACCATGATTTTTTAAGTAAAATGTTGTTTAAAACTCTGGTTTAAAGACTTGAAATGATTTGAAGCTCAAAGCAGACAACTTGCCTGTCTTTGACTTGAGACTTGACACAGATTTGAGGTCAAAGACTTAAGACTTACTTGAAACTTGCAAAACAACAACTTGGTCCCACCTCTGTAGTAGTAGAAGTAGTAGTAGTAGTAGTAGTAGTAGTAGTAGTAGTAGTAGTAGTAGTAGTAGTAGTAGTAGTGGTAGTAGCAGTAGTAGTAGCAGTAGTTAGTAGTAGTAGTAGTAGTAGTGGTGTTCTAGCAGTAAAAGTAGAAGCATTAGTAGTGGCATTGACAGAACTATATCACAACTAAACTAGAAACATACAAGACTATGAAGTGATCCAAGACTTGTTGACTGTGTAGTTGTAGTAACAGTATGCATATTTTGTACGTGTCCCTTACTCCCAGTGTAAATCTAAGCAGTACAGAATGAGAGCACATATGGCTGAGTACATATAATAAATGTCGTGCGTAGTAACTTTTCATTTGGCTCTAACACTGATGCAGCCCTGATTGCTTTAGGAGCACAGCAATAAGAGAAGCAGCCACTGTCACTACTGCAGACAAATACAAGGCAAGCACAAGATGAGAAAGTCTCCACTCTTGGTTATAACATTTATTCTAGTCCAATGGAGCTGTGGAGACCTGTAGATTAATCAGAACCAGTTGTACGTGTGTGTTTGTGTGTATGTGTGTGTGCGTGTGTGTGTTGTTGTGTGTAGTGAGTACCACTTGGGCGCAGTAGCGAGCACCGGGGGAGGTAAAACGCAGCATTTGTTATCTGTCAGCGAGACAGGTGTTTTAGATTACTTCCTCCACACACACACACACAACACATACACACACATATACACACACACACACACGCACAAACACACACAAACCGCCGGGCCTCGCTTAGGGCCGGCCACAGATCCAGCAAGACAACTAATCGATAGTCCGCGACCGAGCTACAGATGAGAGGCAAGGGGTGAGAGAGAGAGAGAGAGAGGAGAGCAGAAGAGAAAGAAAGAGAGATAAGAGAGAGAGAGAAAGAGAGAGAGAGAGGAGGAAAAATGATGGAGAGAGAGTGGAGAGAAAGAGAGAAAAGCAGGTAGATGAAGTAAGGATGTGCAGAGAGAGAGACAGAGAGAGAGAGGTCGAGGGTGGATAGGAAAAGGAAGATGAAAAGGAGAACAGAGGTGGGGAGAGGAAGAGGAAGGGGAAGCAAAAGGTTAGTGAGAGGGGGCAAAGAGATGAGGAAAGAAAGAGGTTGGAGATAAAAAAGAGTAAATAAGGGGGTAGAGAGACAAAAGAGAGAAAGGCGAGATGAGGAGGAAAAGAAGGGAGAGAGAATAGATGAGGAAGAGAAGGAGAGGGAGGAAAGAGAGTTAAGTGAGCCTTCCTGTAGCCTCAGAGTGATCCATCACAGAGCTGTTAGAATAAGCCCTCACACAGACAGTATCCATCCACTGGACCACACCACGAAACAGGACCAAAATTCTTTCAACTTTTTTTTTTCTTCTTTTTTTTTCCCCAAAGGGCCCATATTACACCACTTTCTGATCTCATCACAAACCTACTCGATCAGAGCATTTTGAGCTTTGGATAGACTAAATTATTAAGAATTATTTAAACATGCATGAATGAAACAAAACAAAACTCTGGGTATGTTTTCGAGGAGGTAACATAAAGGCTACGTTCAGACTGCCGGGCATAAGGATTTTGTGAAATTAGATTTTTTTTGAGAGGTCGTTCACGTTTCCAATTAAATGCAACTTGTATGTGATCTCCAGTGTGAACTTTAAATGCCCCAAAAGTGTCCCGCATGTGCTTGTTTCCCAAAATACAGTCCAGTTGTTCATAAAATGGCCAGGTTACACGTCCACGGCCGCTTGGTTTGTTTGAGTCTTTTGCCT